CTGAATAGTATTAGTTATATCTCAATAAAGTTCTAATTTGATGGTGTTTTTTGTTTATCCCTTTTCCAGCGACTGGTAAATAGGGGGCCGAAATCATATCTTCAGTGGAATTTTCCACATGATTGATAGGGTTCATGCATCGGTTAGCTACGTTACAATCGTTTCAAGCTAGAGAAAAGAACCTATGCAAGAAACGGCATGCATTTAGACGGCGCTAAAATTATAGAATATCTTCATGGGATATATCTTTAAAAAATAAGATAATAACAACATAAGGAAAACAGGAGTAACAAAATATGTCACGTGTCCGACTTATCTAGGAAATGTTACCAAGTTCATACTATCTTTCCAATTCTTATCAAGAAAAATCAGAAACTCGGTTAAACTCATATATTCCTGAAGTACTAATGTTAGTATTTTGTATTTGACTCGCGCCTCAGCAGGTAACCAGTGTAAAGAAGCTAGCACATTCTGGATGTGATCAAACTTATGTGTCCTTGTTACTATTGATCACATTGTATCCGTTTTGATAGCCTAGTTTGTCACGCAATTTTTTTGCAATATTCTGCTATGCACTGGTTAATTGGGCGTAATAAAATCATGAGTCGTGACGTAACGTTATGTAAACATATTTGGTCCAATTTGGAGTTCTGTTTAAAGCGTAATGATATTGTTACGCAGTTAGCTATTGGTTGTTAATCGGACTATTGGCCAGTCATAATTTGGAACAGAAATTTGCTTCCATTACAGCAGTTTTAAGTGAGATTAGGTCTAATAAAACGAAACATATCATGGGGAGCAAATAAAACGGCCCTGCTAATGATATATAGGTTCATGATAAGATCAATATGTGACTATGGTTGTGTCGCTTTTGCAAGTGCAAATAAAACAGCTCTTGCTAAACTAGACAGTTTACAATATCAGGCAATAAAGATAGCAACGAAAGCTTCATTTGGCACAAAAAGGGAAAGTCTTTTGCAGGAAGTAGGTGAAATGTCATTCGAATTGAGGCAAAACGAACTGACATTGAGATACTGGGCCAAGTTACAGTACCTTGGGGACAGCTGTCCATAATTTAAGTGTACAAAAACATCAAGGAGAAAATTCAAAAGAAATGTCAAATCAGAAACTCAGCCGTTCGGTCACAGAGCAAATGATCTATTAAAAGACCTAAGATTAGATCACTATCAGATTACTGACAGGGTATTTTCGTATCAAACCCCATGGACTTTTTTAAATCCAAACTATGACAAAAGCCTAGATAACGTTGTCAAGAAAAAAAAAAACACAACAAGCTCTATTGCTATCGAGGGAATTTTTGTACGAAAAATGGTCATCGCATGTGAAAAGATACACGGACGGGTCTCACGATCCAAACACTACCAAAACTGCATTAGGTCTTGCCATTCCCGAATTTAATATTAATATATCGAAAAGGCTACAAGATGGATGCTCTATATATACAGCATAACTAAAGGCAATATCCACAGCCCTTGAATGGCTCGTGTCATCCACCGTTCAAAGAGCAGTCATTGTGTCAGACTCCCTTAGCAGCATAAAGTCAATAATACATGACAAAAAAAGTAGCACCTAGACCAGAAATTGTTCAGAATATTCGAGCAAGTGTTTATTCCCTCCGAAACAAAAATAAAACCGTAGAATTTACATGGATACCATCCCATGTTGGCATAGCAGGTAATGAGTCCGCAGACAATCTGGCTCGAATACTTAAAATATAACGTTCAGGAATTTAATAGCATCGTCAAAACTAAAATTAAATCACAATGGAAAATTGAGTTGGCCATAGCAAATACTCTTAGATTCAATTTAAACAACGATCTGGTTGCAAAGACGGAGATTAATCGCCAATCGCGCAAAATTTGTGGGTTAATCACAAGATTTAATTACCGACCATAAATTTAACCCAGTGAAGTGCGAATGTGGCCACAATTTGACCGTTAATCATGTTATCATTACATGCAATAAATTGGAAAAGAAAAGACTCCCCGTACGAAGTTTAATGGAAAATGCCAAACTTCAATATACCCTCCAAAATGTACTCTTTCCCCCTCGGAATATGTCATATAAAATTTATAAAGCTATCTCAAAATTCATAGCAGAATCTGGAAATAACTGTTAAATTAGTTGCGTTACAATAGCCCTAGTCAAAGAGAGAACACTGGTTGTGTAGACCAGGTTGGCCCCTAAGCCACCTGGATGCTTTAATAAGATAGGGAACTACATATCTAGGAACTACTAGTATTGTTGTAGGACAGTATGGCGGTTCAGTCTGCTGCATGATTTAATATAATAATATACAAGGGAAAATAATGACAAAATAAAGGAATAGTGACCTACACAAACATTATTAAAAATGACAGTGCACATCAATCAATTTGATTTAACCTGTGTTTAAAAATTTATTTATTCCTATAAATGGTTCAATTTGTCTTATTGTTTATTTTGTGTGTGTGTGTGTTGCTACTGGCTCTTCTTTCTCTTTTCAGGTAACTTTTTATCTGTGGAGAGCCATACGCAAGGAAAACTCTAATGGAATGCTTACAACTTTTAAACTTTGAAGTCTTGAACTTTTAACAACATGGAACTTATTGGACGAACATTTTTAATATGTAAATAATCTATGGGTTCAGCTATGTGGTTTTTACTGCGAGCACTTCGCTTTTCCACATAAAGCCGGCGGATTCTTTTTCCCCTCGGGTTTTTTTTCTATCCGCCCTGATGACGCCAAACATCAGTTAGTTGGACCTCCTGTTTAACTTTATTATGACAAAGGGAGAAGATAACCCGCCCCTTCTCACGACAGCGAATTTATAAGTGTGCTTTAAGAAACTTTTGGAATCCGAGCACCTTTTTATTTTGTGTTTTTAACAATTTTTAAGTGTAAATAATTTAATTAAATCATTCTGTCCATAATATCATATTCATTGTATTGGACGTTAAATCTGTAATAAACAACAACAACAACAACATCAAACGAAACACTACGAGGAGTATGGGTTAAACAGGGTGGTTTTTTTTATCCTTACTTGAAATTTCTTTTAGGAAACGCAATATACTATGTAACTGTTCAAGAGTCCATACAATCAGTATCTACCAGAAAACACCAGTTGATTCACGTTACACGTTAGTTTAAAGTAGCAATAACGTTATTTATTGATAAAACAAATCATATCCTATCTTGCTCCATAGTATCCGGCAAAACCTCATAATTCGTGCGCAGTCGGTCATTGAGAACGAAACAAGGAGCAGCGTCTTTCCATAATCAACATTTTTTCACTATACATTAACGAGAAAAACAACCCTCCTTTTGGTTAACTAGAGTCATATTTTAGACCTGGATTTCAGAATTCGAATTTACTGAGAATAAAGTAACCTCCTGATAAAGACCACCACCCCACCGCATACGTCCATTGGCCCGCAATTACCAAATAACTTAAACTTATGACATTTATACCCTTCTGATTAGCTCCAATAGGTGATGATCTGTTTAAAATACAGAACTATGATTCGTTTCGTTTTTTTATACTTTCGAGGCATCCACTACATGACCGGTGTAGTGAATAAGAGTAAAAAAAAAATGAACTATAAAATAGGATCTGTATTTGAATCAGACTGTATACGTCACAGTCTTGCAGATGTCAGCCTGTGGCATCAAATACACGTACCAGCTAAATATACCCTTATTAATGTTTTTGTCCTTCGTATATAAACAGATTTTATATTCATTATATTCATTGACTATTTTGTTGGGGTCATAAGCGAACCCTTTCCTGTAATGTTGAACGCAAGACCGACCTCCTAGTTAGCGAGCCAGCGCATGAATCACTGAGCCACAGCCTGCTTCGGGTTTTAATGTTTTTTCTAGGTATAATTTTAAGACGGGTTATAGAAGTAATACAGCTTTAATGATGTTATCTCTATGGCAATTTACCGGCTGTTTTTTTTTTAAATAATAATACACACATGAACTAGCTGATTAAATATTATATGGTATCCATGGTCTTGTCAAAATATAGAGCAATCACGCTTTTAAAAATATACCATTTTGTTTTTACCTTTTAAAAAACCCAAACATTTACAATCGCTGTTGGTCATTATTAATAAAATAAATTTTCAGTTAATTTAGAATGAAATTGGGTTTAACCTCCTACTTTTCTGTGTTGACTGGGATAATGAAGGCAAGCATACGGCCTACTTTTATTTGTTATTCCACTGTCAAGGGTTCTTTTACGTGTACTCTAATGTGTACTTGGGACCTCGCTTTTCGTCTTATCCTTACGACAAGGCACTGCTCATTGCCAGATCCTAATTATTGTACCACTGTTAAGGGAAAACCACACTGCAAAAACCCGAGGAAGTGGACGCGAGACCTCCTGGTTAGCAAACCAGTGCCTTACGCGCCGAGTCACAGTGGCTCATGTTAGTAGATTTGACTTTGCAACATGCATATCAAAATATTGCACAGGGCATAGGTATATAAAGTTTATCCCCTATCCATAGGTTAGGCTTCTAAATTCCACGTCCAAATAATCAAGGTTAGATAGTCCTGATTGTCGTACATGAGGCATTAAATGCTTATTTTTTTTATAACGCTTACGCAATTATTTAACTTTGGGTAACGATTACATGTGACAAAAACATGATACGGGTATTCACATACCATCTTAATAGGATTCACCACAGCAAAATGCTTCCATTAATTCGTTTGGCCTAACGCCATTGATGCATGCGGGGCGGCTGGGGGGGGGGGGGAATTATGATAAAGCGTGTGAGAATGATTGGTTATGGGTTCTAGCAACTTAAATACAATTGTCTAACATAAATGTTATACTCTTCCCGGCAGAACATAGTCATGATAGAAATTAGTAATCGGAGGAAAACAAAAGGAATTTGGGTGGATTAAACCGCACTAACTATGGACTTGTTTTCGTACACGAAAATGATTCGTGAATGGTTCTTGAAAAAGCAAAGTCTTAATACAGTGTATAAATACCGGAACTATTCTTTATTTCAATTTTATAATAAATTTATACAGTTAATTAAATATCAGTTATACAATTCTGATTGTTTACCCTTTTGTTCTGATAAATAAAACCATCGAATACGATGGATAACGTTGGTAACACAACTTTGCCTATATCAATCTAAAACATTTACCCTACAACACATAAGCACTGGAGCGAATTTATTGAGATTCAAAACACTTTCTGTAGACTTATCAACCTTTAGCCACCGACAAAATTCACTTTGAAACTATAACAAGACATCCCAAAGATTTTGGAAGTGATGATTACCCATACCAAAATTTTACGGAGCAGCTTGGTTTGAAATCATATTTCATATTGATAATATTTCTAAGCTAGTCATATTGAGCTCCATGGGCCATTCTTTTCCCTGTTACCTGATTTATGTTGCAGGCATATTCAGAGGGGAATGTTATATAATTTTTGTCCCCGCCCCGACTGTAATATCCCTCCGCTGCTACTGGATAATGACAGTTTACCAATTAATTACACACATAAACATTACAGTTATACCAATGTTATATTCATAGAAGGTCGTAGTAACAAGAAGAAGGCAATCCAAAATATATTCATACATAAAGTTAATCATTAATATCATAATTAAAATATCAAAATACACACCTAATTATCAAATAACGAGCTACAGGATGTAATATGATTATTCTACTGAAAAAATGAAGACGGGCATACTCCTTACTTACAGTGTGCTATGAGGGAAATTTTGCTCGGACAGCGGAACTATGGCCTACTCGTATGTCAAATTCCAACTGATCTTTTATGTGCATCCCACATAATCTTTCAGCAACATCTTATCAATAATAATTATTTGTATTTGAAAGTGTGATGTCTATATGACCCAGATTATAAAATTGCCACAATAAATTAAAAAGTCATTTTTGACAGAGTGCAAACCAATGTGTCTGGCCCTAGGGCCCTGCTTTCTCAGTGAGTGTATTAACTCAGGCGCTGCCCCTATAACGTCAGCTCTGAACCATTCATCGTCATGCAATGTACTACTTAATGACCGCTACATCAAATGGGTAGATTATAGTACGAGTTTCGCCTAAAGTATGTCATAAGCTATAATCGTGTTGATAACAATAATGTATTTTACCCTAGTCGATGGTTATATTACTCGTTTCGCGACTGTCAAAGAAATACATCTTTAATGTAATTTGTTATGCATAAGAATAAATCTCAAAACTGTCATTAACACTGACATTAAAAATCAATACAAATGATATGCGTAATTTCTAAAATAGGAAATTGGCCAAGCAAAAGTAATTGTATATTATGCATAATCGACAAAACAAAAGCTTATTTATCATGTGTTCAAATAATAAGTTGTTATCACTTAAATTAAAACATTTATCTGGCTACACAGTACACAAACACGTTAAACCCACTCTTACTGTTCTAGTGCGGTAACACTGAAGAGTTAATGATAAAAAGAGAAATCAGATTAAAACAATATACCCAATACCCAGAAGCCAGCAGATCTACAGACACGGTAAAAATAAAAAAAAACTTGATTTAAAAATGGCACTTTTAGAAGCATTGGACATACAAGAAACATTTTCACATTTTTCCGAAAGGAATTCACGCCTATGTTTGAATCAATGCTAAAATTATGATTTTTTTAAGACTTATCTATGGTGACTTTTATCACATCAGTGATACCAGATTGTTCTTTTGGGCTAATACTGTTTTGTTTATCTCCTCTATCGGTGTCACTACCCTTTTCTGTAATGAAAAATTGTTCATCCCCGGTTTCTGAAGGAATGTTTATGACTTGTGAAAGATCTGGAGAAGAATTGACTGTCTTTAAGGTACACTCCGATGGTTCATTATTTACGGAAGTCGAACAATTAACGCCCAGAGTTTCGTCGTTTTCAGCTGCAGTAGTTGGATCGGTTTCATTACAATTTTGGTTTTCCAAAATGACGTCACAGTTTTCTTGTTCAATGATCTCTTCGCTTACGATATTTGGATAAACAAGATTTCCTTCTGTATCAACCGAAGGAGCTTTGACCGAACGATCGATTAATACGGGTCGCGCTTTTGTATCACGTGGATGATTGGGGACCATTTCTTTATCTTGCACATTTACTCTTTTTGAAGGAGTTGCTTCAATGACTGGAACTGGTGGTGAGAAATTCTCGCGAAGGAGACGTTGCCTTCCTACTTTACAGACAGATATGCCTTGAACAGTTGGTAATCCGGGCCCTGTAGAAAATCTGTTACTTCCCATTCCTAAAAAAAATGAATGGGTAGACTGAGCAGGTAAGGAAGAATGGAAACCAAATAAATAAAAATGGAAATCTAAATAAATAAAAACTAAAACATCCGTGAGTTTTGAGTAAAATTATTTCCATTTGAAATCAATATTTAAATTCCTGAAAGCAAATAACTCTATTTTAACACAATGAAAGACGGTAGACAACTCTTGTTAACTTTGTGGATACAGACCACCATTGACTTTAATGTTAATTCCGGTCTCTTTGTCCGGCTGCAACGTTTTCCCAAATTTTCGTTTGGCTGAACGCATCTCACTACCGAGATAGTGGAACTGAATTGTGATTTACCTTTAAACAGAACCGTAGACAATTCTTAACAAGCATCGAATTCAGTAATTATAACCGTATTCTAAATAAAAATACTAACGTTTTTGTTTCATTTTGGATGATTGGAGATAAGTAACCATATATGAGAACCTAGTTCACAGAATAATTAACACTATGTCTACATTTACCCAAGCATGACCCCAATCTCCAGACTTCGAAACAAAATTAAAAATACACAAAAGAGGTCATTTACCGTTCTAATAGCAAATCTAAACCATTTTATCATTAATCAGTTAACAATGCCATTTGGTTTAATCAACTCACCGGCAACTTTGCGGGTGTTTCTGCATTCATTTGTTGTACTTTCATTGTGATCAACACTGTCGTCTTCTATTGCCAATTCTTCCATTTCATCAGTGTCTGTCCATGCCTGGTAAGGCTTTCTCTGCGTTGGCGTTGACATTCTTTTACCGTATCCTGGTGCGGTCATTGGTCGACGCTGGAAAGGTGTATTCATTCTAACTCCACGGTCTGATCTTGGCGAATCTGAAGTCAAACAGAAAAGAGTAATAGAAGGAAAGACTACGTTTTCAGAAAAAAACATTTATATTTTATTATAAATATCTGAACAATAATAGCGTTACTAAGCACATCAATGTTGGGGATTCATGTGGTACATATATTAAATGACTTATTTCATTACTCTATAACTTATATTCTTATTAACTATTTATATTCTGATTAACTATTTACATTCTGATTAACTATTGATATTCTTATTGACTATTAATATATTCTTATTAACTATTTATATGAAGATTATATCTGTACCTGGTGGCCCCGAAGGACTTTCCTTAAAACTCGAAGCTTTGTTTATAAAATACCTTGTTGGATCGGTACGAGGCATGTAAATACCGTATAATGACAGACTTCTTATGTCAACACAATGTGCTCTGAAAAAAAAAGATCTAGGAAAATTAACGTCATGCGTCATATCTACAAAATATTATTGTGGCATCAGTTGTGATACATTGATTATTGCTAACCAGTTTGACATTCAATGTTCAGAGTCTCTGACAATCAAGAGCATTCTCTTACCTACATGCATATACTCTCACCTAATGTTGTATTGTAGCTACAAGGTTGATTTGTGTTATTTCAATAGAAACACGTCAAAAGGAAAATACATCTTACCCGTTATAACGTGCGCCGGTTAAAAATGAATGAAGAGATTCGCCATCGTTTCTATAAGATTCCTTTACCGATGATAATATACTTGAACTTTTCAATTCATCAGCACCTACAAACAATGATATTAAAATGCATATACGGTTTATAGAGCAGAATAAACTATAAATTATAAGAGATGACGATTATGCGGTAAAGCCAAATGATATAATAACAGTGACTATGAACAATAACGTTTAAGCATTCATAATTGTGTGGTTAACCTAATACCAAATGAAAAACTGGGACTGGGACTATGAACCATAAATCTTAAGAATTGGCGATAATGTGGTAAAAGCAATGTCAAATGCTAAACAACTGTGACTATGAACACACATTTTAAGAATGGACGATAATGCCAGTGCCAAATGATAATACCACAGATATTAAATCTGATTAAAATACTGATCTATATTTCGTTTCGTTTTTTTATACTTTCGATGGCCTACACAACATGAAGCCAGACAAGTACAACGAAATTTTGAACTATAAAAACGAAACGAAATAGGATCTGTATTTTAATCTGATTGCACAGATATTCACAACGGTAAAGATTATCTGAAATGTTGCTATAATTTTATTGTGTCTCGTAGAGGTAATCAAACTTTTTTTTAAAGTCGATAGTCAGTATAATATACAGTTTAAAAGATTATAGTTAATCCAAATATGTGGGGTCAGTCAGGGTTGTACTCTACAAACAGGCGATATGGTAGGTCATGGAAATGAAATGGGGTTTGACGTCCTGTTGTTCTACTCCGACTGGGGTAGTGAAGACGGTACTCTACATGGACATGATTAACTAGGCACAAATCCAGGCCAATTCAATGTAATAATTTTGAACTTACGTTTCATTTGTTCCTTTCTCTCCTCATAGGCATTAACTGGCGGAGTGTTTCCCCTTTGTCTAGCCCGTAACAATCTACAGAAAAAAAGATTATGTTAAACAAATCATTGAACAAAAATTGGTATTTTAAAATCCCAGTTATTTCATTTATGCCCTTAAAACACAATCAATTCATTTAATTGTTGCAAAGAAATAACACAGGAAGTTAATTCTGTGCTCCCAATATACTAGTGATGATCGCAGAACTTTTCGTGAAGTACTTGTTGTATTTTGATGAAAATCCGACAGAAATTATAACAATTTTTATGCGGTGTTATTATGGGTATAATATTTTCAGCTAGTCTGCCGTTGCTCGGCAACCGGCTTCACGTGATGTTCTCACCAAATGGTAATATTATTGTAACTTACGTTGTTCTAGTAGGTCGTCCATATTTGAGATTAACATCATCTAAAGATTGGTCTCTAAGCTCAGTTTGAGAGAGATATTGATGAGTACGATTAGGACGGTAATATAATCCCGTTTCACTAGTTATCGTTCTTGTTGCATTGGCGGAAGCTGCGCGTTTTATTTTATTCTGATTACTTTGAGCAGACTGAAAAATATAAATTATTATTTTAAGATCTTGGAAAGAGAAGTACTGAACACTTTACGTATTACATTTTAAAAATTGTTCTGAATATTCACACTTAAGCGAAATGTGCACATGACTGATTTAAGTGGGTTTAATGTGAAAGAAAACCTGGTCAATCATTAAACCTATATAGGTCTACAAACCTTGCAAGGAGAGAGCAATCTGTGTAAAAATAATGGCGATTCTCCACTATTCGTCGATTCTTTATGGACTTCTTCTACCCACGTTGGGGAGCCATGAACCAATAGAATCTCTTCCTTAAAAAGTCTGTCTATGTCCTCAGCTAACTTCTTCTGATATTCACCATCTTTCTCAAATGAATGAATACTTAAAGGGTATTTCTTACTACCTGAAAGAAAGAATATCAAAACATTAATATAAATTACAAATTACCAACCTCATACAGGCACAAGAATAGCAACTGTCTGTTCCAGGTGATACTCCGACTCGAAAATTGCTTGCCATTTCTTCATTTTGTAATTACAATAGCTAAAACTTTGTGACATACCTGTAATTTTCATCCCTTTGATTTCTTCCCTTAGCCTAAAATCCAGCATTCTCATGTAAATTTCACATATTTCGACATTGTCACTTACTCAGAACATAAACATTACGACTGCGCCTTGCATATCGCACTAGGGTATATAGGTACTTTAAAAATTGGGTGCATTCGGTTAGAAATGTCTAGTGAAGGAGAATTCGCCCATTTGTTTCGCGGCAATAATACTTATTAGGGTTTCACACTATGAAGCTTGTTGCTGTTTTCACCTTGCTTATTTCGCTTATTTCACACTATGAAGCTTGTTTCTGTTTTTACCTTGCTTATTTCGCAGAAAAATGCTTATTGGATCATTTGGAGTGACTTAAAGAATAAAGCTATTTTGAAAAGTTGGCAATGCCAGAACTATGAGAACTCTCCGAAATAAGTTATTTGGTGTAAAGGGTTAGGTCTTATTTAAATTTAGATAAATCTATCGGGTAAAATGATTCAGAATTTTGTTGGTTTTTTTTTTGACTTTATAGCTCTGAGTCAGTTTTAGTTTTCAAAATTTTTCGCTTGAAACGTCGTGATAACATGTGAAGAGTCCAGGGAAAGAACGATCTAAGTCACATTTTTGTCTTTTTGCATAAAAGGCAAAACAGACTTTTGGACGAGAATGCTTGACGCGAACAGAACAACGGGTGGGTTTAATTACAACTTCAAAATAATATTTAATACGAATCATAGTTACCAGTACAACAACTGACTTCCACTTTTCGGCCAAATTAAAGTCAAATAAAGGGTATGATGGACGTATTTGTCCGGGGGGACATTTCAGAAGGGCTTTGGTTTTATGTGACTCCGGTCGTTTTTTACCAGAAATTGATTGTTCCACAGAAAGCTTATACAATTTGCTACCAGGTGGCGTCATTGGGGCTTGTTGAAAAAGTGACTTAGATCGTTCTTTTCCGGGACTCTTCAGTTATATTCTACTGGACCGAAACAACTACCTACACATCCGAGTAGGGCGAAAAGATTTAAAGCCAACCCAGCACCCCTTGTCTGCTTAGGATCTTCCAGATAACTAGGCCAAACATGGTTGTTTTCAGTACCACGATGTCAACAAACCACGATTTTTTTTTCAAGGGAGAAAGCTATATAGCTTGATTTGAACTCAATTCTCACTAAACAGAAAGCAAATATGGGATGACCATTCCAGGTATTTCACAAAGTTTTAGCCACTTTAGATAAAAATTGAGGAAATGACAAGGAATATCCGAAACGTATTATCACCTGGAGCAGACAGTAAATGAAAATATAGCTTGGACATCGATTTCAGAAGTTATAGCTACTTGGATTAAATACCAATCTAAAGTCCGCTTCGTTTCGTTTCGTTTTTAAAATATATTTTTGATGGCATACACTTACTTCAGATCCGAGCGGTTTGCGAGGGGTGGGGTGTGGTAACGTCCAGTTTCGTATAGATGAAATGTAACTGAAAGGCGTAGACTATTTATATTTAAACTTCGGGTTTGTTTAGTTCTCTTTTACTTTACAGATGTCTCCCATAATTCCGTCCACCACTCACGTATATCTCGACAAAACAGACAATTTCATCAGATAACTTCCCTAATCAAACATACCTGGATTCATTCAAAACCTCTCCCAGATCCTTCTGTCTTGAAGACAAATAAGACGAAATTGGAACTATTTCTTTTTACTTAAAGCTTTACGTCCGCTTCCACCTTGGGTGATAACGTAATATAATCTGTGTTTTACATGTAATAGATGGGGGTGGGACTTAGAATGTTGGTCTAATGGGTGGGCTGGGGTCGTGTAACTACGTTTCATTGGGTCGTAAAGAAACGAAATAATAAAAGATGGTACTTTGTTGCGGGAACTATAAATAAATAGAGTAGAAGCACTGGTTCTTGGGCCTTTTCGCCGTTCTCGAAGGTCGAAATAAATTACAAATCTACCGTTAATTACTCTGTGAACAACTATTCGATATACTCAACGAGTTGTCATCAAAACAGACCCCACGGGACAAACACAATACCATATCGTGTGATTCAATTGTAGTTATATCTATAGGCAAGTGCAGTGATGATGAACGTAGGTTGTCGTGATTATAATTTAAGATTAAACAGATTTATGTCTGTAATTTAAGTTAATCGAATAACCGAGATAAACCTCGTGTTAAGGAGATTAATATCCCATACAGTGTGTCACGTTTCAAGAGATAACAAAGATATATTCCTAAGTCCTATCTAATCCTTTATTTAAAATTTAATCTCTATTCTATTAAATGGTATCATCTAAGATTTAAATAAAATATATTGCAAATCTTAACTTAGAACGCTCAAAGATTTGAAATATTGACACGCCGCCCACCATCGTTATATTAGATTTTGTGATCTGTGTATCAGATCTGTGTATCAGATTTTATATTTGTAATCGGGTGGAGTATGATTTTAATTATGAAATGCTGCCCATGTTTTGATCCAATGAAGGGTCTTAGTTATTTCTTCATGTTTTGAAGATTTATATTTGTGTGGATGTCCAGAATCTCCCTATCATCAAACTTGCCTAGTTCAAACAAATTCTGTTTTGTACGAACCTAGGAAGCTCTATTGTAGGCTTAATCTATTTTATTATGACGTAAATGTTACGTAAACTATGCAAATCCAATATTAAACATCTCTTAAAGGGGCTATCCCAATTTCAAGAGAGTCTCAAAATAAAAGTCGGAGTACGTTTGAAATTTAAGCGCCAAAATATAGAGGAATGGTGTATTTACCTTCTCTCAAAATTCCAGCTCAAAATATTTAACCGTTTGGAGGTGAACGTCAAAACTGCTTATTCGAACACGTAACCCTTTTAAGATTTCGGGGCAGTTTTTTTGTTGGGTGACCTGATAATCGATTCCCGTTCCTTGAGAGGTCTATATAGTGAATGACCCATGTGCTCTACTTGATAACGAAAGGTAAATTTCACCTACACATTATTTTTATAAAATAAAAGTCTGGTTTTATCCAGACACCGCATAATACAGCTTGGGACACCGGTCTCCATTTCCATATGAAGACTGACGGGTTTAAGTTGTTTGAAAACTTATCACAAATATTGAGTTAGTTGCTCGGCCCTTAGCTAGAGGATTTTAAGGGATTTTAACACAAAATTAAGTAATTTTATCCTCCGATAAATATCGGGATTAGCCCTTTAATCACTTTATACGTTCACAACAAAAATATCCACACAGTTAAGTAATTTAATATCTAGGCTTTCATATTAATTTTGTTCTTTAAATACATCCGATTAAGATTTAGTTCATAGAGATTTTCTTCGAATAATTTTTAATTAACGTTGTATTTTTTTACAAAGGCAGCTTCGTTCAATTTAATCGCATGCATCTAAGATTAAACTCATCAGCTGGATAGGATTGCCTGTACATTTCTATTTTTGGCGTCCATACTTTGTATAGCTCAAGAGCTTAAAGGAGCTAAACGTCTTTGGATTAGGTTAATAAAATTATTAAAGCATTTATCTGCTTTATTATTTCGATTAGTGATGAGGCAAGCTCTGTGCGATTAAATTTTGGTTTCTGAAGATTAAGCAAAAATAGACTCGATTATTAAATTTGGTTTACTTTTTTGTTTCGTTTTCTGTGTCGACAGTGAAACACCAAATCGGTAGTATCTCAACATTGACTTTATCTATGTAAATTTTTTTAACAAAGACATATTTTCATTATGCAAAACCAACCAACACATAAAATTTACTAAACTGACCAATCAAAAAAAAATTAGACAATGTTTGTACCGCAGAACTGTTTGACAAGCCCCCACCCCACCCCATTTTCCGCTTTATTTTGATAGTTATATAAAAGAAAATGAACCAAGTATTCACTTCACACACAAAAGGCATTAGAAAACATGTGTTTCCCGGCACAAAAAAACATTGTAAAATATGATTTGTCAAATACCGATCCATAAAATGTTACGTAATATGTTTACCGTTTTGACCACTGTGTGATCGACTTCCATATTCCTTTGGTTGTCCTTCAGCGTGGTCGTCGAATGATAAATCCACACTTCGCAGACGTGGCTTTTTGGCGCTGTAACTCTTGTTAGTCATAGTTGGTGGCTGTCCAAATAGTTTGAGATTATAAGCGATGATGATTATGTATATCTTCGTCCATTTTTGATCGACCGTTAATCTCCTACTTACGTGTTAGAACCTGTGCACTTTTCTAACAATGTGTCGTCCGCCATATTGTTTAGTGGTTGTCAATGACAGTCAATTGTCAAGTCTTCATTGTGATATCGTCTGCTATTTTTCGTGTTTACCCTTTTCACTAGGCTTCTGTATACATGTGTAAAATACTATAGGGTAAAGGTCGTGAGTATTCACGTTGATCCTACACAATCCAATTGAGATATAAATGCATGATAATGGATTTGTCCTTGGGTGCTCTCTAATTCACTGAAATCAAGACAGTGGTTGGCGGGTAGACTGACATTACGCCAGAAACGAGGACATTAGTTGAATATTTAACTCACATAGGGTATTTACTGTTTCATTCTTTGATAAAATGCCATTCTGAAATGGGTGTTCGGGGACGTCGCCCACTCTGTCCCTCTCTTTACACGCCAGTGCATTTTTAATACCGAGGCTAACCTTCGTTAAAGTAGCTAAGTCTCTAACTCAGTAGCCAAAGTCTTTGACACTGAAAACACGAATTGTTTATCAATTTAAATCAACATTGATGTTGGGATCTTACCGGGAAAAAAATGGGCTTCTAATATCCGATATTTAAAATAAACTAAACATTTTATCATTGGTTAACGAATTGTGTACAACACTGCGTTTCAGCGCTATTTGCAACAAGGGACTGGAAGAACGAGGCTAGACATATTTCACAGGTCATGCCAAACGGTGACGCCTTTTTCTTACCTGGAAATGAAATGAAAGGAATTTAACGTCCTACTTTTAGCCGAGTGGGCTAATGAAGACGGTCTTACCCGGAGAGCATGCGCATTAAATACTATCGGTGTAGACTGGAATAACCAGACGGTAGAGATTGCCATTCGATTGAGGCTTCTAGCTTATTTTTCCGAACATAACTGATTATAAATTACTGTGAAAACAGAAATGATTGAATGTAAATCTGTTTATATAGATTTATATTACATTATAATATGCGATGCGACCCATTTGTCCCGGATGGGACGAAAACCTGAGCTTTTGTGGACACGTTGGTCATGACTAAATCACACTTATAGTGCACTACATGGTTAGCCCATTCGGTCCAGAAAAGTAGAATGTTAAACCCCATTATAAGTTCAGTAATCAAAAATGCAACATGATCAAAAGTCACGTAGTTTGATTTTCTTTCTTCCTGTCGTTTTCTACTTGCTGCAAACATTTATTGTCATGAAATAACAAAAGTTGAATGGAATAATGTTTTGTACGTTTTTAATATCTCATCTGCTATTAAACTCAAAGCGTGTTTTATTGGCCTCTTTGTATAAACTGGAGGGGGTGGTGGTAGTGGTGGCCGAATGGTTAGCATGTGCGTGCTGTATCATACGGCCTGTCATTGAGTCAACTGGCGTGGTTTCGAATCCCTGGTTGTACGTGACAAGGAGTAGGGGCGTCTGTCCAATCTCGTGGGTTTTCTCCGGGTCCTCCGGTTTCCTTCCACTGCTAAAGACCCCTACGCGCAACCGAATTATTGAAATAAAATTAAACCATATGTTAGTCCGGAAATGACCTAGTTTGTGTCGAGTGGACGTTAAACAACCTTTCTAAAAAAAAAAATAAATAAACTGGAGTTATAAATAGACAATTTTTCCCTTAATTTTTTTCTCCCCTCTTCCTGCATTTTTTGGTTGACTTTTTGGTCTAGAATTGGAGAAAAGGGATCAAATTTGCAATATCACAGCAGTTTGAGGTAATACTGATATTACAGCGGAGGGATAGGGGGTATAAAGTGTCTTTCTGCGGAGTAATCATTGTGTCGGAAGTCAGATTTTCACCCCAGTCAACATCAAATCCCCGTAGCAAAAACTCTAAACGGTCAACCCCCTACAAAATTATGATGAGGAGATTGCCAAATGTGGTCCCCATTGTGCCTATAAAGATTGGAACCAACGGAATGTTGAGCAAAAAGCTACATCCCGGGAGGTTACAGCCATTTAACATTGAAGTCAATGGCCAAATAATTAATTGCTAGTCTGAATCCATGTACTTAACTAGTTTTGTTAATTTGAGAAAGAGAGTTATCTCCCTTTACACTATACATTATTTCAGCAATGATAATTTCAACCAATTACAACCTTTTTGTTTGGCGCAATATAGCCCGGTTGGAGCTGACGTGCCATTAAACAACATTTCATTCATTCATACAACCATTTTGTCCACACGTGGCTACGTCAAATCATATACACATGTGTACCCTAGAAATAAAATCAAATGGAATGGGATTTAACGTCCTTCATTTCTGCATCACACAGTGATAATGAGTAGAAGTTTGTTCCAACATCGGCAAAACAACCTACTTTTATTTCGAATTCCAACCGTCAAGATTTATTTTTACGTGCACACTAACGTGCCTACACTTGACCTTGGCGTTTTGTTCGATCTGGAAGACTAGACATACCAAGCCCTCCTTTAGGCAACAAAGACAAGGGTAAACCACACTGGAAAATCTCGAAGAACTTTTTCGGCTTACACCTGGATGGGAACCTGTGACCTTGTTAGCTAGCCAGCGTCTGACTCAAAGAGACAAAGCGGCCCCCGTGTGCATTGCACTAAACACATTAAGATAGTTGATTTTTGTTTGCGTGTAGTGCGATCCTCCTGCACTTACTATAATTAAACTACATTGATATGTTGTAAAAAGAAAAAAAAGACTTAATTAAAACTACCCTAGACGTACAGTTTAAAAGATATAACTCATCTGTTAGATTTAATTCTTTTTATGAAATATGATTTTAATCACTCGTTAATTAGGTTTAGATATACATTATGTAAGAGCTAAATCTGCCTATTACAAGTCTTCTTTCTGGCTCCAAATGTTATATAAATTATTGATTAGATATTATTATTCACGTCTATAACCAACTCTCTATATCATCGGATGGTTGGGATATTGGGTGGATTAGACCATCCGCGCCGTTTAATCGGTTAACGTTAAAATTGAAAATCGAGACTTCGCTATTCTAGTCAAAACTTTAAACATTCATATCTTCGCCCAGAATAAAGTAAATTTTTATCATGTTTTTTTTTCACAGCGAGAACAGCCAGCACTAGACCTAGCTAAATCTTGCATGATGTATCATTTATTTGTAGCCTGCGTTCGAGCTTTCTGGCCTTTGTCTCCTTTCTGTATGTGTAGGATAAAGCACAAGACTGAGGTTATGCTGGGGAAAGAAAGACTGTAGAAAATAACCCAACAAAAAGATAAGCCGAGGCCGGAAGGCCGAGGTTGTTCTGTCAAGGGTTTTTTCTGAAGTCTTTCGTCCCCAGCATAACTGAAGTCGGGGACTTTATCTTGCTTATAAACCGTCTATGTTTACATGTATGCAAGATGAGAATATCCCAGAATTCCCGTAAGAAAAACCTTATATCATGTTTTCTTATGGAAAAAAACCTACCCTGGAAGAATAACCCAGTACAGGTTTAAAGAAAAACTTTCAGAAGAATAACCCCAAATTTCCCTATATATATCCAAAGCCGCCCCCGACTTTCAGACGGCAAGTTATTCCGGGCATAGATCAAATAAGATACCGTTTCAGGTTTATAAGTCGGAATAATCGGGGTTGTCTAAAACAAAATACAGTAAGAATGCATAAGACTACCAGTAAATTAGCAAGCGGGTCAAACCGAGATTAAAAATTTTCCGTTTGTAGCCTTTTTATAAAAAATTCTTCAGTTTAATCTCTAACTCAATATTTTCCACAATATTCGAAACTAAACACACGATTTGGAATTCAATATTCTCCATTTAAATCAATATTAATGCTATTATCTTGTGACACTATTGTGTCATAATATCCAATATTTAAGACACGGGGACATTTTATAATCTGTGCACGGGTCGTGCACACTCGGCAAGCATCAGCAGATTCCAGGCTCCGAGTTCACAAAGCATTCTCAAACTTAAGTTAAGAATTTTCTCAAAATTGTTTGCCTTATTTTAACTAAAATTTATAAAACTTCAATAAGAAACTATATGAAAAATTTTGTGTTTCTGGATCAAAGATATTTCTCATAAACAATTGGTGAAAGTTGAGTAAATTCTTAACTTAAGTCTGGCATGCTTTATGAATTTGGGGCCAGTACCCTAAATCTAGCCTCGGCTGTATAGGCCTAACGAAGTCCGCCATTGTAACTACTTTCAAGTTCCCGGATTACCAACGGCGTTGCACATGACGACGCCTTTGAAGAATGTTTTATCATACAAATATTTCAAAGTCTGAAGCTGCTTTTCTGTCAAGTTTAATTGCTTTTCTGTAAACAAGGACAACTTTGCACTGAAAATTCTAAACACGCTTCGAACGACGCAATTTTGATAACTTCTTTTTAAAAACGGCAATTGTATAGGCGTAGGTACATCACTTACCGTCATACAACCGAGGCTAGATGTAGAGTCACGGAATCTGCCGAGTTTTGCCGAGTGGGGTCGTGCATTCTATGGTTTCTGGTGCCATTTGTAATGAAATGATATAGGGTATAACGTCCTACCGTTCTGGCCCGACTTGGCCAATGAAGACGGACAATATACGCCATGTATACTGTGCTGTGAAGGAAGTTTTTCCCGAACAGCGGCACAACGGTCTAGTCTTACATCCAATTTCAACTGCCAAGGGATATTTTACGTGCACACCAAAGTAAATCACTTTAGATACATTCATATATATGGCGGTATATTAGATTCAAAATTCTAACATGCTATCGTTTAATTTCCAACTTCTATTCATGTAGGCCTAATTTCTAACTTCTATTCATGTAATTTCTAAATTAAGACAATGTATAATCCAACTTCTTTATTAAAATTTGATCAGTGTAAATTTTAACTCTGTTTCATCTTATTTTTATTATTAAGACGAAAAATGTCTACTTCATTGTCGCTTTATATGTTAAGCATGAACGTCGAATAAATTTAGAATTTTGATACTTCCTAGCAACAATCATTATGACGTCGCTTAGTGTCGCCACCGTGTGCTCAATTTGGCGTTTGAGCATCTGATCGGGACCATTATGCCATTTTCAATTTCAGCATCGATTCCCCGGTTGTATTTTGTACTTGACTAGGAGTAGGGTCGCCTGCCCAACCTCGTG